TTGAAAACCCTCCTTGGGAAGTTGTCCCTTGGAGTGGATGTTGTGTTGTTCTCCTCTAGGACTTAGTTGGTCCCGTGTGTGGGAAAGGTCGAGGCACACGTGTACAAAGCGACCACGGTATAGGGGCAAGGTCAAGCTATACCAATTACAAAGCGACTATGGTATAGGGGCAAGGTCGAGCTATACCGATTACAAAGCGACCAATTTGAGTATAGTACGAAGTCGGGAACTTAGTTCGTAACCGAGAACTATACTTCCTTTTATAAGTGGCAAAGTCTGAGAAATCGTTATCATGTTGTGGATTTCTATCCAAATTTTTTGTTTACCTAGCAAGCCTAAAAAGGTTATGTGTTGTTGGTTCGGTAAGACCTAGCCACTTAGACTACTTACCACGTTGTAGGAGATCTCCGAGTTGAAATGCGTGACAATGCATAAGTTGTTGATGAGTTGATTTGTTGTTGATAAGAGTTGTATCTATGTTGTTGTGTTGTTAAGTTGTGATTGTGTTGTATGTTGATCCTGTTGAGGATGATGATAGTGCTATTATGTTGTAAGTTGCTTAATTGTATACAAGTTGATGATGATGCTAGTGTCGCTAGATTACTTGTGTTGTAAGTTGTTTTAAACATGTGTTGTTGAGAGATGTGTAACACATGTGTTGGTTGTTGTTATGATGAATATGATAACTATTCCAATGGTTGTACAGTAGTTGCGTTGAAGTGTTGATACAACGTTGATATGTGGAATCAAGTTGAAATGATGTTAAGATGTATAATATATGTGTTGTTTATCTTTTGTGTCGGATGTGAAGATGATTATATAGTTGTGTTTCATATTTGATATTTATGAGTTGTTTATTATCTCTAGCTTACCCTTGCATGTTTCCATGTAGTTTGGACTGCGATGATCATACGTTGTATGGGAGTAGGGCAGGAATAGGCTGGGAGATAGCTGCTAGAGGCCACAGGAGGTTCCTGGAGATGGATATTCTTTTGTAGGCTACCTTATAGTAACATACTTTGTTGTATATAATTGATTGTTGTTAGTTGCTTGATTAGCAACTTGTGTTGTAAATATTTTATTATACTATTTTAGTATATATATTCTAATAGTGTGTAATGTTGTTTCGTAGTATGACAGCAACGGCGGATCGTTACATGGATAGAAATTGAATTGATTTGAGAGTTAGTGAAAGTTCACCCCAAAGGTGACCATCCAAAGATATTTTCCTAATATGCACTTTAGACCAATTGAATTTGAAAGACAATAAGGGGATAATGTAATCATCGGCTTCTCCTTGTTCTTAATAAAGGCATTATTGAACTTTCCACCATCCAAATTATATTAATGTAAATAAAGTTGGGAAAGAAGCACACCTACTAGAGGACTACGGTGCATGTCACTAGGGTACTCGAATAAATTTAAGAATTTTATACAATTATTTTTTTTAGGTTAATAGTTGAATGAGTATGAACACATTAAGAGAAAGAGAGGGATAGAGTTTCTCAATAACTTAAATTTAGTAAGGTACCATAAAATTTCTCTTAATATATGCCTAACAGTGTAGAATCACAACATCACTTTAATAGTGTGTTTAATACACACTAAATTACAACATAAATTAAATATTTAAATTATATGAGAAATTTTATTATTTGCACTATTTGAAAAATAATAAATAATATAAATAAAATAATGTAAAATTTGTTTTATTACCCTAAGTATTAATTATTTTAATATAAACCATATTAATTATTTAATATGTTGAAAATAGTAATAATAATAATAATAATAATGGTCGTGAAAGTAGGCATGGCAATCTAACCCGCCCCCGTGGGTACCCGCCTGAACCCGCCCCGATTTGGATGAGGAAAATCCGTGTTTATCGGGTTCGGGTTCGGGTTTTCCCCGATTGATAAAATCGGGGGCGGGGGCGGGGATGTTAATACTCACCCCGCCCCTGTCCCGCTTAATAATATAATTAAAAAATTATTTTTATATATATAAACTAAAATTATAAATATTTATATGTAAAAATTTATATTATTTTACTTTT